CGTCTCAAATTTTCAAACTGGCCCACACTAGAGAAATGGAGGCACTTCTCTCTCTTGTAGAATGTTATAACACAGTATTTGGCCTAAACAATTTGAACTTCAGTGACTATTTTGAACTAACTATTCATAGCTGGACAAGTGCTAATCAATCTTCTAAATTATATGTGAAAAGTGCGAAGGTACATCTCTACAAATATAAATTTTTTTTGTTCGCATAATGAAGGTTGGTTTTCACTAGCGACGGAATCGTTGTCGGAGTCGTAATCAGAAGCGTGGAGCGATACGATCTAGTGAAAATCAAATTGACGGAGTCGGAAGCAGAACACCGATTCCGCATATGACTCCGTCTCTTACGATCAAGCGAAAACTGCATGCTCGATTCCATGCCTTGCGATTGGTTGGTTCTTCCGCTTCTGCAACCTGGTTTTCACTGGATCATAAGCGACAGAGTCGTAAACGGAATCGCAAGAAATGGAAACGTTCTGATTCTTCCGACTCCGATTCCGTCGAGCTTATAACTCCGCTAACGACTCCGATTTTCGATTTTCACTGGGTCATAAGCTCTCTTACGACTCCGACTCCGACTCCGTCGCTAGTGAAAACCAGCCTTAAAGGACTGGAATAACTTGCCGCTGCATCTAGTCGAAGCAGCAACTTTTAAATTTTTTAAAACTGGATTGAAGTCTTTTCTCAGTTAGTAAATATCTAACTAGTGATATATTTTTAGGTAATAAGACAGTAGTCATATTGTATTGTTGTAGCTTTTATTATTTTCTGGAAGGGTTGACCTCGTGTTTCCTTTTCATGAAGTATTTTTATCTTTCTTTTGATAAATTAGTATGTTATGTTATGTTATGTTATATCTCAGCCTCGTCATCACAGTGAAGGCGAACTTGTTGCTGTGTGACGTCATAACAATAGGGGCATCGAATCGTCTTCGGGAGCAGTGCGTTTATTTTTGCGAGCACGAGCAGTGATCGAATTTGCCTTCAGAGCAGCGAGCAGTTCGAAAATTTTCCGTTAGCCGGAGTGTCTTTTTTTTTAACAAGAAAACGTTGTTTTGCGCCAAGTAATCTGCTGACACCTACAAAACAGAAAAATAGACGCAACGCTCACCCCTAAACAAAATCGATCAAGGGCAACAGGAAGACCTCAATTTAGCTCGGCTAACACCTCTACCACTTGATTAACGGAGACATATTCCTTCTCGACGACAATTTTTCGAATTGCAAGCTTCTAGTAAGCTTTATTAAGCTTAGAAATTTTAAACTTTGAAGACGCTAGATAAAGAGACTTCTTCAAGCTCCGCCATTGTAGCCATGATTATTGCTGGTTTTCAGTGTCACGCAATTCAAAATAGCTCAAAATAAAAATCAAAACCGGTCAATAGATAAAGTCC